ATCACCTGCTCGAAGCGCGCAGTGATATCCTCCTTCCACCCAAAAAAACCGTCCACGGGACCAACTGCTGCTCCCGCCAGCGGTAGCCCGAGCAGGTACGACACGTCCTGCAGTGTCGGAGCCATCTCCCCACAGGGAAGGTGGAACGTGTGCGTCTCAGGTCTCCAGCGGTCTACAAGAGTGGCAAGGAGTGACCGGTCTGCATCCCACCGCTTCGCTGGGTCACGGTCGTCCGCCGCCGCCTCAACAAGCCTACAAAGTGGTAGAAGGCCTGCCGCACGCAACCTGTATAGAGCAAACTTCAAACATAAGTACAACACAAAGCAAAGTTGAGTTGAAATGTGAACATACGCGTACCAAGGAACGTGACGGGGGTCGACACGCAACCACTCGCGCGACGTGCGTGGACGGAAGGTGCCGAGCTGTGCACCCTCGACTGCTGACAGGAACGAGCGGTGGTTCCTGTCAATCCCACGGTTCAACAGCGCCGGTGTGTCGTACGCCATACCTGCATCAAATAGGTTGATCAGAAACATATAAATAATTAGTTCAACATAAGTAATAAATGTTCATAAGCGAATTACTAACACATATTAAACAAGAGTACAAACAAACAAAAGTGTTTAGTCCGAACACTCATCACGATAACATTATGATACAACACCGAATAGTTCGCAATACTACTAGTACAACAATAGTCGGAGGTACTCATTACAACAACATTGAATTGAAATTACACGATAGAAGTATTTAGTCCGAACACTCATTACATCACAACAGCATTTTATTTCCTAAATCGAAAGCATTGTTACACCATGGAATCGCCTGCTGCGCGACGACGCCTTGGCCTTGCGCGCCTGCTTGTTGTTCCTTCACCAGGTGGTCGCCTACCATCACTTGCCTGTCCAGATGGACTAGCATCTGCGCCGCTTGGAACTTCTGCATTCTTCGGGCATTTCTTGTAAGTATGGCCGCGCAGATCACACTTGCTGCAGCGTAAAGTCCTCCCACCTGCTTCTGACTCATCCATATCATTTCTGATGCGTCTAGTTTGGCGTCGACCCTTTTTCACCCTTAACTTAGATGGATCTGGAATGTAAAAAACTTGGGCACTCAGCGTTGTGTAAGATCCTGAGATCCCGAACCCATATATCTGCTCACTCCATGTATGAAAGATTGCTTCTTTCCTGAAATAATTTGAGACGTACACATTGGGAGATATGCCACAATCACCGGCAGCAGCAAGAACGTGTGAGCAAGGAAGGTGATGAAGCTTCGGCTTCATACAACTGCAGGTACATCCACCATCCGCCTTCAAGACACATTCCTGCACGGCTTGCTTGCGATAGATACCACGCCTGCTCCTATCAACACACATTATTTCATACCGATGCACTTGTGTGCCTTGAGCAACAACTCGATGTCTCCGTGCCTTTTTGATTTTATCTTCCATGTACTTTGTCACTACGTTGCCAAACACTATGTTGTTATCAGCCATGGACGGACCAATTTTCTTGTATCGATCCCTAAAGTACGCTTGCGTGCCGTGAAGGATGAATTCAACAATAGCAACCAATGGAAGTACCCGAACTCCTCGCATTACCCAGTTGTACACCTCTGCCAAATTGGTTGTCATTATGCCATACCGAGATCCATCGGTGTCGAACAATAGAGACCACTTCTCCTTAGGCTCATTCTCAATCCACTGAGTGAAATTTCTGATGGACGACCCTGACCTCCTTCTCATTGTTGGTGGGTCATCATGTAATGCACCAAGAGGTATGGGAGGTTCGTCACCTTCAACTAGTGGTCTGCGAGATTGCTCATCTGTTTGCTTCGTTGTCAACTCATCCAACTTGTCCCACAACTCATTAAATTTCTTCTCTTGGTTCTGTGCACAGAGCCTCTTAAAGAGCTCCATAAGATGCTTGTTCTTGAATTGCTTGTAGAAATTTGCACCCATGTGACGCATGCACCACCGACTCCGAACATCAGGCCACTTAGCTGGAAGTCCCTTCTCATCCCAACCGTTCTGCAAGTAGTCAATAGCCCGCAACATACCCGCATGACGATCATGTATAAGGCAAACGTTGGGCCTCATACGCACCACTGCAATGTGCACTCTCTCTAGGAACCAGTACCAGCTTTCAGTGTTCTCACTCTCTACAAATGCAAAAGCCATAGGTAGAACCTGGTTGTTCCCATCACACCCAATTGCTGTCAATATCTGACCTCGGTATTTACCTGTCATAAAAGTTCCATCTATGCATAGAACAGGTCGACAATGCACAAAAGCATTGATGCAAGCACCCAATGAGAAAAAGGCTCTTTGCAGCACACTCTTTGTTCGATCATCAACCGATGTAAATGTATGTAGGTCATAGTACGTATTATTATTCCTCTGAGCAATGGTGGCTAACAAACGAGGCAAATTATCATAAGAAGCTTCAAATGTGCCATACCTCATCTCAATGATTTTTTGTTTGGCTCTCCAGGCCTTTGCATAGCTTATGGTGTACTTGAATTTGTTCTCGATGTGCCTAATAATTGATTTTGGTTCAAAGCCAATGTTACCAACAACACTGCTGTACATCTCACTTGCCACAAAAGCTGAAGTGATGTTTCGGTGATACTTCTCCACCCCTTGTAAGTAGCACTTGTGCTCGGTCACAATGCTAACTTTCCAATAATCATTCCATTTACCCTTATATGCATGGACACGCCACGAACAATCTTCCTTCATGCACCTCACTTCATACACATAATTTGTTGACTTGACCACCCTAAACTCTCTCTGCAAGGAAACTGCCCAATGCTTCACCGCCTCCTTCATCTCATCCTTATGAGCATACCTTGCACCCTCAATTACCTCGTTCTCCTTATACTCCCAGGGTACATGATCACCCTCTGATATAACAAGTCCAGAGAAGTCCTCATTTGCCCAATCAGTGGCCATTACATCACCTTCCTCATCGGATGATGCGTCGTCGTCCACTTCCTCATTATCCGAATCTTCCCTCTCCATTTCATCAACAATTATACCGACTCTCTCCCCCTCATCCGCCATGCCCATAGCCTGCTCCTCCCTTGGTTGATTTTCCTCATTTTGCATCGATGGTCCAACAACATCCCCTGCATTGATAGGACCCTCTACATCTTCGGTTTGCATTGAAACATTTATATCTTTCTCTTGTACCGACACAAATATAACGAGGGGCCATGACCGTTCAAAAGCCATTTCCACATACCGTCTCCAAGCATCAGTGCTGTCCATCGGCATTAGTTCCCAAAAATAACCTTCTGTTGCACGACTCACTACAACTGACACTGACATTGTGTAGACTTCTTGGTCTATTCTAAATCCTCTCAACAACCAATTATAAATTGACTGAAATGTTCTCTCCGCAGGCCTATCGATGCCCTTAGATGTCATTACAAAATCTGACAGATCAACACCATCTGGACCAAATCTAATATTTCCTTCACCGTGAACTATCTGAAATGTGACCTTACTTGACATTGTGCCTGATGAAAACAATAACTGCGTTAACCTCGCATTTCTGTACTACGCCCTAAGTTACATTCTCTACAATATTGTTCTCTAAATTTCTAAAATTACGTTACATTCTCCAGATCAAACTAAACTACATCTTACAATTAACACTACTGTCTATGTCTCAATTCATACTATTATATTCTATGCTCTGGATCTACACATATGTGCTGTGTGCTACAGATGTGCTAAAATATATGGAACTAAAACTAAAACGTAACATATATACTCAAACATAACATATTAGTACAAATGCAAAAGATGTATGGGAGCATACCTGTGATGAATTGAGCGAACCAGCAGGGCTTCGCCGCTCCCCTTCTGCTGCCCTCCCCTCTCTCTCTTTCATTTTTTTTGGATTTTTAGTGAATATAATGAAATTTCACAGAGGAGGGACTGGGCTTTATAGGGGGAGAGGCAAAAATCGCCCTCCCCCAGGGCGGCAAGGGGGCCGCCTGCAAAATTCCATGCCCCCTCGCCGCCCATTTGCAGGCGGCCCCCCCCCACAGTACAAAATCGCCCTAGCGGAGGGCGGCAAGGGGGCCGCCTGCAAAATTCCATGCCCCCCCTCGCCGCCCATTTGCAGGCGGCCCCCCGCACAGTACAAAATCGCCCTCGCGGAGGGCGGCAAGGGGGCCGCCTGCAAATTTCGTTGAGCGACGGCCGTCTGCCACGTCATTTTCGCCGCCCTCTGAGAGGGCGATTTTTCGCGGTAGGCGACTACTTCCGTCAATTTTCAAAATGGAAAATTATTTTTGTCAAACTTTTAATAAAAAAAATTATAAATAAAAAAAATTCCCACGAAAACAGCAGAATCCCTCGACGACAACAAGGCCACGGCGGCGGCGGCGCCGGTGGCGGAGCAGTCGAGCAGATAGTGCAAGCAGTATCGCGCCACGCCACGCCCGGCCATGGCTTGCGGTCGCCTCGAGCGCTCTTGAAAGAGAGAAGGAGCGAAAGGTTTGACTCGCCGGAGAGGCTACGGTATACTGGTATGATTGGTCTTGAGCTCCAAGTGTTCGATGAAATGCCGCACAAAGGAAGCCCGGTGTCCGTTACTGTAGTCTGTACCTATCATCAGGTTTTTGAGAAACATTTCCGGGGAAATACGTATGTTGCAATCATCCATTGAATACATTCTGAGCCCTATGAGCCCAGCTATAATCCTGCAGGATACTGCTGCAACAGGGCAGACAGACAGAGGATTCTGCTGCACAGCAGGGAGAAGGTGTGGGGGAAAATACGAAGAAAGAGTAGTAGCAGGACTAGCTGCTAAGGTGTCAAGAGAAAATTCAAAACATTCGGGGCCTTTATATTTTGTTGATCTTTTTTTTTCTGTGCTAATGGGAGCAAAACCAGTTAAAATTCGTGCGTCTTCAACTATTTCTTACACCAATCTACGTATCTTCCTCATACTCCTACCTGCAAACAGATGAACATGAAGAGATTGGGAGGCACCTAGCTTAATAATTGAATTCAGAGCACAAGCTGAGAGCAAAGGGATCCGGGGGTTGTTGGTTCAGCACAGCTGCACAAGTGGACATTAAAAATCAGCAAAAAAAGATAAGGTTTTGTTCATTGATCATATATGATCACACCAAATTGTGTATGCGCGCAGAAGATAACAGAAGCAACAGCCTTAAATATTACATGATGAGAAATACATTGCCCAGTTCACATAAGATGTCTTGGGAGCCCAGGCTATGCTACCCGTCGCAACGGGCGAGTTCGAGCGCCTTCTCGAGGTTGGCCACGACTTCCGAAATGGCTGGCCGCTCCTCCCACTGCAGCTGCAGGCAGCGAGCTGCTATCTGCGCCACCAGTTCCGCCGCCTCCAGCTGCCTCGGCGTTGGCTCCGGTGCCGGCCGCCTGTCCAGAAACTTCCACAGCTCCCCCGCCTCGATCAGTATCAGCGCCAAGGACACCAAGCTTTGGTGACCAATCCCGTCCTGCTCTAGCCACTCATACCACCTTTGTTTTGTTGTTTTCCCATCTTCTTCACTCTCCTCCTTGTCCTCTTCTGTGTTCTTCCTCTCTTGCTGATCACATTCTTCCCTCTTCTCCTCTTCCACACATTCTTCTGTCTTCTTCTCCTTCCATTCTTCAGAGAAATATGGTTTCTTCCCCGTCAATACCTCCAGCATCACAACACCCAAACTGTAGACATCGACTGTCGGGTTCAGAGTGCCATCTATAATGCACTCCGGGGCCAAGTATCCCAAGGTGCCTTGTACGAGAAGATCAACCACATGGTCCGGGCCTTCCCATGTGAGTGCCAGCTCGAAGTCCGTTAAGTGCGGTGCCCAGCTTATGTCGAGCAGGATATTGGACGTCTTGATGTCACGGTGGATCACCGGCCGCTCAGCGTAGGACTGCAAGTACTCAATGGCCCTCGACACACCTAGCAGTATCTCGATGTGCATCTTCCAGGATGTTATCACTGGCGACGACGACCGTGGGCCGTGCAGGTGGCTGTTAAGGGAGCCGTTCTCCATATACTCAAGGACGAGTAGGATCTCTTCCAGCTTTTTCCGAAACGGTGGCAGGAGCTGGCGCTTCTCCTTCACACAGCTGCCAAAGACGCGGACGATGTGCTCGTGACTAAAGGAACGGAGGATGCTGAGCTCTCTTATGAGGTCTATTTTCCCTATGCAAAAGTAAATAGTACGGAGCATGCGTTTGATGGCCACCTCGCGTCCGTCGGGAAGCCTACCCACGTACACCGTGGAGTAGCCCCCTAGACCAATCTCTCTGTCAGGAGAAAAGTTGTTCGTCGCCGTTGCGAGCTTCTTAAAAGCAGGGTTGGAAATTTCGGCCGTTTCGGTGGGTCCCGATAGACATGAGCTCCGGTCAAAAATTTCGGCAAACACTGTTCATGGTCAAAATCCCCAAATTCACGGTCAAAATCCCCAATTTCCCATCCCCTCCTCACTTACCAAAGGCGGCTGCTGCTTCGCTATCCTCCTGCAGCTCGCCCAGCAGGCAGCAGGTCGCCGTCCTCCCAAGCTAGCGAACAGCGGCGGCGGCGGTGACCGGAACCGAAGGCGGCGGGTTGGTTGGAGTGGCCAGCGGCGGCGCTCCACGGCGCGACGACGACACAAGCCGCGTGGGCCTCGCGAGGCTGGACTTCTGGAGTGGCCGGCGGCGTCTCTGCGGCTCTTCAGCACCACGACGACGACACAAGCCGCGGGCCTCGCATCCTCCGTTTGGCTGGAGTTGCCGCCGGCGGCTCCATCGCTCTTCGGCAGCACGACGACGACCGGACGATGACACAAGCCGCACTAGCCTTGCATCCTTGCGTGTTTCATTCTCTTGTTCCTCTGCTTTGGATTTAATAGACTCGATGCTTATCTATACTCTGATCTTGGTCAAATTTCTTTCTTTTTTATTGTTTAAATTCAAATTTTGTTTGAGAATTTCGTCCGAAATTCCCGAAAATTTCGGAAATTTCGGAATTTCGGTGACCCCCGAAATTTTTCCCCTTCCCGATAGGTTGAACCTTGGTCAAATTTCTTTCTTTTTTATTGTTTAAATTCAAATTTTGTTTGAGAATTTCGTCCGAAATTTCGGAATTTCGGTGACCCCCGAAATTTTTCCCCTTCCCGATAGGTTGAACCCTGCTTAAAAGTGAATTCTTTTACTCCATGGATTTCTGTCCGAACAAACTTTGTGGCAACCTAGTATATCGATGAATACACATCGGAAAGAAAAGAGGAACTGAATACCAAATCAAAAGAGTTGCAGTTGGTAGTAGTACAAGTACAAACAATTGAATGCTTGAGTCTTCCCATTTCAATGTATACCTGAGCGGCAGGGACTGGATTTGGGGGCACGGGGAAAGCAGGCGTAGATGGTCCGGGCGTGTTGGTTGGAAGCAGGATGTTGTAGATACGATCGAGACGACGAGTGATGTCTATGTGGCTGATGAATGGGAAGACGAGGAGGTACGAGTCGATCCTGCTCTGAACATCTCTGAACCTCTCAGCCTGCCGCCCTGCCATCACCAACCTGTACACGGCGCTCTTGTCCTGGCACGACAACACAAGCTCGTGCGCCTCCCGGAGCGTGTCGTCGAGCCCGGTCAGCGGCCGCCGGATCTCAGGCCGCCGAAGCACCTCCGGATCCTGCAGGTGCTGCAGCAGCTCGGCGATCGTGAAGACGCGGCGGGCGAGCTGCTCGCACTCCTTCTTGTTCTGTTGAGCCGTCATCGCAGCCTGCATGATCATGGAGATGAGGCCGCCGACGTCCGCCCCGACCAGCTGCGCCACCGTGGCCGCGTGCCCCGTCACGTCCCACAGTGCGATGGCACTAAGATCAGGATTCTGTTCTTTGTTCCTAACAAACGGATCGACAAATTAAGGTGAAATGCAGAGGACGGCTACCGCGTCTTGAAGACTTGATCCTCAGCGTCTCTCTGACCTTGCTTATTTTATGCTCTAGTTGCCCCCCTTTTTTTGTGAGAGAGGGGGATAAGGACGTTGCTTGTTTTTGACACAAATTATATGACGGAATCATGCAACTGCCTCTCCGTCTCCGGTAAATAAAATATGTCCAATAAGTTCATGAAGTGGACGTGACTACGACGTAACCGTACACTGGATTGTCATGACCAGCGACCTCACTCTCAGATCGGGTTGCTACTACTACACCCAACATTGCATGTATTTTTTTTCTTCTTATAAAATTTTCTCTTAAATTACTCATCTGATTTACGATCTGTTACACCGTTGTGTTCGTAACAATTAAGATCACACATAATCTGTTACCTAACCCATTGCCATCCCTAGGTGCAAAGGTAAAAAAATAGCCCAGAGCAGTTACGTAATGCTCTCCCCTAGTTTAGCAAATTTAAGCAACGTGCCATTGCTCTGAACTTGCACAATCACAACAGAGCAGAGATAAAAACGGTATGAAATTTTCCAGCTGTACCGGTACCATTTTCGATGAAATAGTAAAAAAATAAAAATTTAGTTTTTCTAATTTGTATATGTGTCGTATTGAAGTTATTACTAACTAGTTTCATAAATATAGAAAAATCCTGTCTGCGCCAATACCATTTTCAAATAAATAATATCATTATCGATAGTTGTTATCCCTAAATGTTTGTTTTGAACTTGTAACAACAGTACAACGCAATCAAGAAAAACACATACAAAGATAAAATCCATACCCCTATCCCTATGCCAGTTTATTTCGATCAATTTGACTTTGAGCAAACCTGATGATAGAGCTTTAGTGAAAATCACAGCAAGCCCAAGCCATCAAAGACGGTCCACTACAGACATATGCATCTCAAATTGGGCTGAAAAATGGGCCCACGTAAAAAACATATTTATAGGGCCGGCCCATACTACCGCACGTCAACCGCGACCCCGTTTCCGCCCAGCGATTCGTCTCCACTAGAACAGAATCCCTCGACGACGACGAGGCCGCGGCGGCGGTGCCAACAGCGGAGCAGTCGAGCAGATAGTGCAAGCAGTCTCGCGCCACGCCACTCCCGACCATGGCATGCTGTCGCCTCGAGCGCTCTTGAAAGAGAGAAGGAGCGAAAAGTTCAACTCGCCGGAGAGGCTATGGTATACTACTGGTATGATTGGTCTTTGAGCTCCAAGTGTTCGATGAAATGTCCCGCTAAGGAAGCCCAGTGTCCGTTACTGTTATCAGGTTTTTGAGAAACATTTCCGGGAAAATACGTCAGTTGCAATCATCCATTGAATACATTCTGAGCTTTATGAACCCAGCTTTAGTCCTGTAGGATACTGCTGCAACAGGCCAGACAGACAGAGGATTCTGCTGCACAGACATGCATGAGATTCTTAGTTTTAAGAGCAGGGAGAAGGTGTGGGGAAAATACGAAGAAAGAGCAGTAGCAAGAGCTGACAAGGTGTCAAGAGAAAATTCGGAACACATTCAGAGCCTTTATATTCTCTTGATTGATTTTTTTTTTGTGCTACTGGGAGCAAAACTAGTTAAAATTCGTGCGTCTTCAACTACTTCTTACACCAATCGTCGTATCTTCCTCATACGACAGGAAGAGATTAACAGATGAACAGGAAGAGATTGGGAGGCACCTATCTTAACAATTGAATTCACAGCACAAGCTGAGAGCAAGGGATCCGGGGGTTGTTGGTTCAGCACAGCTGCACAAGTGGGCATTATAAATCAGCAAAGAAGATAAGGTTTTGTTCGTTGATCACATGATCACACCACATTGGTATGTTTAATTGTGTATGCGCACAGAAAAGGAGAGGAGAAGCAACAGCGTTAATTATTACATGATGAGAAATACATTGCCCAATTATTCACATAAGATGTCTCGGGAGCCTAGGCTATGCTACCCATCGCATCGGGCGAGCTCGAGCGCCGTCTCGAGGTTGGCCACGACTTCCAAAATGGCCGGCCGCTCCTCCCACTGCAGCCGCAGGCAGCGGGCAGCCGTGTGCGCCACCAGTTCCACCGCTTGCAGCTGCCTCGGCGTTGGCTCTGCTGATGGCCGCCTGTCCAGCACCTTCCGTAGATTACCCTCCTCAATCAGTGGCAGCGCGAAGGACACCAAGTCCCTCCTCTTTTTCAAATCCTCGTGGAGTTTTTGCGTCGTGTCCTCTTTCTCCCATTCTTCTCTCTTCTGCGCCTCTTCTTCACACTCTTCTCTCTTGTCTTCTCTCTTCTTCTCCTCCGACTCTTCTTCAAAGAAATGTGGTTTCTTCCCCGTCAATAACTCAAGCATCACAACACCGAAACCGTAGATATCGACTGACGGGTTCAGAATGCCTGTCATAACGTACTCCGGTGCCGCGTATCCGTACGTGCCAACAACCGTATCCTCATGGCCTGGGCCTTCCCAGGTGAGCGCCAACCCGAAGTCCGTCAAGCGCGGCACCCAGTTGCCATCGAGGAGGATGTTGGACGGCTTGATGTCACGGTGGATAATCGGCTGCTCACCGCAGTACTGCAGGTACTCGATGGCCTGCGACACACCTAGCAGTATTTCCATGCGTGTCTTCCAGGACGCCATCACTGGCGACGACGACGACGACGACGTTGGGCCGTGCAGGTGGTGATCCAGCGAGCCGTTCTCCATGTACTCATAGACAAGCAGATGCTCTTTCTCCTTTTCCTTCCGGAACGGTGGCAGGAGGCGCCGCTGCTTCTCCTCGACCAACACATCACAGTAGCCATATAGTGGAACAATGTGCTTGTAGCGGATGGGGGAGAGGATTGTGATCTCTGCCATGAACTCCTTGTAACCCTGAAGTGAGTTCCGACTACGGTGCTTGATGGCGACCACCCGCTCATCAGGAAGCCTTCCCATGTACACCGAGCCGAAGCTACCTTCACCGATCTTTCTTTCAGGGGCAAAGTTCTTGGTCGCCTTTGCGAGCTCCTTAAAATTAAACTCTTGGACTCTATGGGGTTCCTTCCAGTTCCAACAGATCTTAGCAGTATCCTAGTATAGAGAAATGCACATAATGGAAGAATGGTAAAATTAGAGCTGAGTTCTAACTTCTAAGCTTCCCTTTGAAGCCAAGTACAAAGTGCAATTGAAAGTTTGAGGATATATATACTCCCTCCATCCCATTTTAAGTGCAGCCATGATTTTTCCATGCCCAACTTTCATCATTCATCTTATTTAAAATTTTTTTGAAAAAATTTTAAAACATAAGTCACGAGTAAAATACTATTCATATTTTATTATCTCGTAACAACAAAAATACTAATTATAAAATTTTTTCAAATAAGACGGACGATCAAAGTTGAGCAGAGGGAGTATTATATATGTATGCATTTCAATGTGTACCTGGGAGGCTGGGACAGGGATTTGGGGCATGGAGACAGGAGACATAGATGGCCCGGCCATGTCGTTCGGAAGCAGGATGTTGTAAATTCGATCGAGACGGCGAGTGATGTCCATGTGGCTAATAACTGGAAAGAGGAGGAGGTAGGAGTCGATCCTGCTCTGAACATCCCTGAACTTTTCAGCCTGCCTCCCGGCCATCACCAACCTGTACACGGCGCTCTTGTCCTGGCACGACAACACAAGCTCGTGCGCCTCCCGGAGCGTGTCGTCGAGCCCGGTCAGCGGCCGCCGGATCTCAGGCCGCCGCAGCACCTCCGGATCCTGCAGGTGCTGCAGCAGCTCGGCGATGGTGAAGACGCGGCGGGCGAGCTGCTCGCACTCCTTCTTGTTCTGCTGAGCCGTCATCGCCGCCTGCATGATCATGGTGATGAGGCCGCCGATGTCCGCCCCGACCAGCTGCGCCACCGTCGCCGCTTGCCCCAACCCACCCCACAGCGCCATGGCAGTATCTCAAGTTCTCAACTCTCGGGAGGATTGTGTTCTTGCTACCAAATTTTCGCGGAATTATGGATGGACAAAGGGTCGGTCCAGGGAAGGAGATGACTGACGCGGTGAGAGGAATTTTCCTGGAAGTGGGTTGGTGTGGACTGTGAAATGATTTTTTTTTTCTTTAAGGCCGACAAAAGCTTTGGGTTTGTGTATATATAAGAGAGAAAGCAACGAGTGGAATGAATTATATTTTTTTTAACAGTCTCACACAGCCACAGCTCAGAGTTTAGACTTCAAAGTACGTCCCTGTCCAGTTAGAGGGGTAAAAAGTTTTGGCGTGTTATATAGGATATACATACACATTTAAAATATTAAACGTAGACTAATAATTAAACGGAATGTGAAGGAGATTTATTTTACACATATTATGATGTGGATATACTCCCTCTCAATCCCCTTCATTTCTCCTTGCTTAGGGATTAAACGACCAAGGCCTTAGTTGTATATATGGTGAAAATCAATTATGAAATGAGAAGAAAAATCATCCCCAACTGATCTATCTTCTTCTACTTCTGTTCTTCTTCTTCCTCACGTGTCGTTCCAAGTCCACCCGATTCCCGCGAACCACGCCGCCGGCGATTGGGTCGTGACACGCACACGCCTTTAGTTAGTTGGAGTTTAACGCGGAGACACTTGAAGTTGAAGAAGCAAAGCGCGTGTGGCTATTTTGATTACTTAATTAGGCAAATGATTTTATCGTCTAGTGCTGAGTTACTGACACAGTGATCCGAAAGCCAGCGAAGCACCAGAATATATTACTCCCACCATTTCAGAATGTTTGACACCGTTGACTTTCTAGCATATGCTTAACCATTCGTCTTATTAAAAAAATTATGAAATATGTAAAACTATATGTGTATATGAAAATATATTTAACAATGAATCAAATGATATGAAAAAAATAAATATGTAAAACTATATGTGTATATGAAAATATATTTAACAATGAATCAAATGATATGAAAAAAATAAATAAATAATTAATTTTTTTTATAAGACGAATGGTCAAGCATATGCTAGAAAGTCAACGGTGTCAAATATTTTGAAACGGAGGGAGTATTATATCGACCTGATGACCTCCATCCCTGATCACCTTGTGTCACCAATATTCTTCCGAGTTGCGAGAGATGGCGATGTGGGGCGGGCTGGGGCAAGCGGCGACGGTGGCGCAGCTGGTCGGGGCGGACGTCGGTGGCCTCATCTCCACGATCATCCAGGCGGCTGGCACGGCTCGGCAGAACAAGAAAAAGTGCGAGCAGCTGGCACGCCGCGTCTTGAATTCTTGATGATCGCCGAGCTGCTGCCACACCTGCAGGATCCGGAGGTGATGCGGCGGCCGGAAGTCCGGCGGCCACTGGCCGGGCTCGAGGACACGCTCCGGGAGGCGCACGAGCTCGTCGCGTCCTGCCAGGAGAGCAGCGCGGCGTACCGGCTGGTGATGGCCGGACGGCAGGCCGAGAGGTTCAGAGATGTTGAGAGCAGCATCGATTGTTACCTCCTCGTCTTCCCCTTCATCAGCCACATCGAGGTCACCCGTCGACTGGATCTCATCCACAACATCCTCGTTCCAAACGACACGACGGTGCCACCATCTCCATCAGTAGGCTCCTCGACTCATGACCTGGTACGAATTGTTGCTCGAGTACTGTACGAATTGAATGGCATATATCCAGTCATTTGCAGATCGAGAAGCTTTCTTTGTTGAAGAGAAGCTTATTAGCAAACTAACTACCCTCTGTGACAGGTATTTGTAGATGTCGTTAGAAAGGTGGCATCCCATGGAAAGGGAGGCGAGGTGTTCACCCTGGTGGAGCTGGCGGCGGCGACCAACAACTTCGCCGCTGACAGAGAGATTGGTTATGGCAGCTTCGGCACTGTGTACAAGGGAACCTTTCCCGACGGGAGAAAGGTGGCCATCAAGCACGAAGGCGCGGACTCAGTGCAGGGGCACCGGGACGCGTTCCTATCAGAGGTCGACATCCTCCCCACCCTTCGCCACAGGCACATCATACGCCTCTTGGGCTGGTGCGTGGCCGAGAAGGAGAACTCGCTCGTCTACGAGTACATGAAGAACGGCTCGCTTCACGACCATCTGCACGGTGGTGCTCCATCGTCTTCATCACCCTCTCCGGTGACAACTTCGTGGAGGAAGCACATGGAGATACTGCTGGGCATTTCGCGGGCCATAGAGTACCTCCACTCGCACGCCGTAACGCCGGTGATCCACCGCGACGACAAGGCGAGCAACATCCTACTCGACGACACCTGGGCGCCACGCTTGGCAGATTTCGGTTTGTCACTCAAAATCTCATGGGACGATATAAAGTGTAGAAATGCCCCCGTCATGGGCACCTCTCGATATGCCGACCCGGAGTACATTAGCACCGGGAGATTGACGTTGGCCATGGATGTCTACAGCTTCGGCGTTGTGATGCTGGAGATGTTGACGGGGAAGACGGCGGCGGGGCTTGTTTCGAACAACAAGAACAGCTTGGTGTCGTTTGCGCTGCCAAAGATCGAGGCCAAGAAACTCGAGGAAGTGCTGGATAGGCGCCCGGCGCAGAAGCCGACAGCGAGGCAGCTCCAGGCCACGGACCTCGTGGCGGCGACGGCGGCGCGATGCCTGTGTCTTCAGGGGAAGAAACGACCGGCTATTTCGGAAGTCGTGGCCGAACTTACACTGGTGGAGAAACCATCTTTCGTCGGTCGGCCGATTTCCACAATAGTCCCGGATACAATAAAAACCGGGGCTAAAGATGATCTTTAGTCCCGGTTCAAAAGGGTAACGGGCATATTTGATCTTTAGTCCCGGTTTGTGTTACCAACCGGGACTAAAGATCATCTTTAGTCCCGGTTCGAATGCTGTCAGGGCCTGTCAGGCCCCCCCGGGATCTTTAGTCCCGGTTGGTAACACAAACCGGGACTAAAGATCGTAACTTTAGTCCCGGTTGGTAATACCAACCGGGACTAAAGATCCCGGTGATCTTTAGCCCCGGTTGGTGCTACCAACCGGGACTAAAGTCCCACCCCTATATATATGTCTTCTTCCTCCTCCAGCTGCCCGAGCAAGCTTCAAAATTTCTTCAAAAAAGAGGGGAGGTCATGCCAAAATTTCTATTGAATTTATTTTGGTGATTACATACAAATCAGAGGTGCCTAAAAGGTTTGCAACTTCATCCTCCAAAGTTTTTTTTTGTCATACTACATTTGCACCTATGTTTTGCACACTTTTTTTGTCTCCAAAATTTAGTTGTAAGTTGATGAGAGAGAAAATGTGTGTGGGGAAGAAAGAATATATAGAAATTTAGTTCATTTGCTAAACAAGGTTTTATAAAATAGTTGAGAAGGAAAACTCTAGTGAAAGTTAATCTTAAATAATAGAAAACAAACTAAAATGAAAATTAAAAGAAGTAAAACACATTAAAATTAGTTTAAAACTTTACAAATAGTTTTTAAGAATTATTTGGTGTAATATTTTATGATTTTTGTATGAATAAAGATATCTTATAATTATTGTATGACTGTCATTATTGTAAGAATAATTATTTGTGTACGGTTTTTTTGACTCATGTAGATGGATCGGCAATGGATGTACGCTGACCGGCGGTCCAAAGAGTTTATTGACGGCGTGCACTATTTTTTGAGAGTGGCCGAAGCTAACAGGCAAAGGGGTTTTATTTGTTGTCCATGCAATAAGTGTAAGAATCAGAAGGAGTATTCTGCATCCAGGACTATTCATTTCCACTTGTTTGAGTCGGGGTTCATGCCAAGCTATAATTGTTGGACATCTCACGGAGAGCAAGGTGTTGAAATGGAAGAAGATGAAGTGGAAGACGACAATATTCCGGACTTTGCTCAGTATGTTGGATTTGAAGGAAATCAAACGGGGGAGGAGGAAATAGCTGCTGATGGTAACGACGTTGCGGATGATCTTGGTCAGATGTTGCAGAACGCCAGGGAGGACTGCGAAAGTGAAAAGGAGGCCCATAAATTGGACAAGATGTTGGAGGACCACAGAACTTCGTTGTACCCAGGTTGCGAGCAGGGGCACAAAAAGTTGGATACCACTCTGGAGTTGTTGCAATGGAAGGCAAAAAATGGGGTTAGTGACAAGGCATTTGGCGATTTATTGAAACTCGTCAAGAACATTCTTCCGGGGGGAAACAAATTGCCCGAGACAACGTACGAGGCTAAGAAGATAGTCTGCCCGTTAGGACTGGAAGTTCATAAGATTCACGCATGTCCGAACGATTGTATCCTATATCGCGGTGAGGAGTATGAGAACCTAGAAGCATGCCCTGTTTGCAAAGCACTACGATACAAGATTAGACGGGACGATCCAGGAGAAGTTGACGGGCAGCTAACAAAGAAGAGAATTCCTGCTAAGGTGATGTGGTATTTCCCTATAATACCACGGCTAAGGCGTTTGTTCAGGAACAAGGGGAATGCTAGAATGTTGCGATGGCACGCTGAAGAGCGTCAACAGGACGGGATGCTGAAACACCCCGCCGATGGTTCGCAGTGGCGAAACATCGACAGAAAATTTAAAGAATTTGGAAAGGACGCACGAAACATACGGTTTGGTTTGAGTACGGATGGCATGAATCCTTTTGGAGAGATGAGCAGCGGCCATAGCACTTGGCCCGTTACGATGTGTATCTACAACCTCCCCCCCTGGCTATGCATGAAGAGGAAGTACATAATGATGCCGATTATTATTCAAGGCCCCAAGCAACCTGGTAACGACATCGACGTGTACCTAAGACCACTGGTAGAAGATCTTAAACAGTTGTGGAAGAAGGAAGGTGTCCCCGTGTGGGACGAGGACAAACAGGAGGAGTTTAACCTACGAGCGCTGCTGTTCGTAACCATCAACGATTGGCCTGCACTTAGCAACCTATCCGGACAGTCCAACAAGGGGTACAAGGCTTGCACTCACTGTATGGATGAAACAGAAAGTACGTATCTTAAGCACTGTAGGAAGGTTGTATACATGGGTCATCGTCGATTCCTTGCAGCAAACCACCCGGTACGGAAGAAAGGCAAGCACTTCGAACATAAGGCCGACCACCGTACGAAGCCTAAACATCGCAGCGGGAAAACAGTGTTTGCTATGGTT